TGTGTAGGGCATGACGTACGCAGAGTTAAAAAATCTATTCTTATTATATTTTTCATGTTATATTTGTCATATCTCTAATAAAATAGAACCTACATATATTGATAAACTTACTTCTAATATGGTATAAATATAGTATAAAAATTGTTCTATATGTAGCATTGCTCTACAAAGTTTTCCAACTTGTTCATCAGAGATCGGGCTTTCCAATTTTGAGCAAATTATGCAGAGAAATGTTGTTTTACCAAATAGATAGTCAGTCAACATTGGATATTGACTTTCGTCGTTAATAAAATTTAAATAAAAAAGCTGACAATATAAGTTGGCCAAAAGAATATTGAGATATATAACTATGTGTTTTTAAACATGTAATCTCATATATTTTGGTGCCGTTTTATATCTATTTCATTTTTAGTTTTTATTTTTGTGAATATTGCAAAATTTATTTGGTAATTACTTTCAGTTTCAAAAAAATAAACTCAAAATAAAAAGTTGAAAGCCAAATTATGAAATTCAAGAAATTAGTTTTCACATTCTGATTTTCGATTTAAAAAAATAAATAAATACAAAAGCTGAAAACTAAAAACGAAATAGTTAGCAAATATATAGACCCTTAGGTCATTAGCTATACTTCTTGTATCTAGTTTTATATATGGCTTTATGTGTATTTCACTTTCCTGACCTATTTGTGCTACATGGTAATAATATAAAGGAAAACTTTATTTGAATCCACTATACTTTCTTAATTTCTACCCTTAGCTTACTCTCTACACTTATTGTGTTTAATAAACTATCAACCTCTCTTTAAACTCAAATTAACTACCTAAACTACCCACACAAGTACCCAATTCAACATTTAATTTTTTTTTATACCCACCCAAAAAATAAAAAAGCACGTATATCATTGAACTTTTAAACTTATTAGGTTGACAATATGTAATTGTCAGCAAAGATTCATCTCCCCAATGGTTTAAAAGAACAAAATCAGAAACTATGAGAAATTTCATATCAAGAGTGAACAATTTTATCAAAAAAAAAAAAAAAACTTAAAAAAAAGAAAAGAAGAGAGAGCTAATTATAGCCTTGGGAATAAATTCATAATGATTCACGATTTGTAAGCTAAGCTATCATTCTCTTGCAGAGAAAACATTATGAACATACTATTGATAATAAAAGAAGATACAACAGTAAACCAGTTATTTTCTTCCGTCAATTATGCAAAGGGAAAGATGGAAAAACATATTTTCCAAAAACATATGCACATGCCTTCAAAAAAAAAAAAAAAAAAACATTTGCACATAGGATAGCATTTAACACAAGTTTACCATCTTTGTAGGAAATCTCCCATTTGCAAGGCTCTTCTGAGTTTTTTAAAACATGCATCTGCAGAAACAAAAAGGAATAAAAGAGAATTTTGGATCCCCAATTATTCGTCATATAATTGAACATTCATAACTCTTTGTTTACAAGGATATATTCTATAGTAAAATAGTTTGGGTTAAGCAGTTCTACTGCAAGCAAATTGTTCGAAATTATCGATTTGATTTATCATGCATTGATACACAAATTATCTTAAAACAAAAAAATCGTCTTTGCAACAAAAATTAAAACTTTTACTCAAGAAAACAAAAGACATCGTGGAAGATCGCATGGCTTCTTTACAACAAAGCACGCATGCACAGTTCATCTTCATGATAAATCGCATATAGCTGCAATCTTAGACTCCTAAACTCCTAAAAACTTGAAATCAAATGAAAGAAAAAGAGGTGATTGGCATAAATCCTTTTCTCTTTTCCTTTGTTTCGCATAAATACAATGGGCTAACAAAGTCTTTTGTGCAGGCAGTACACTCTTAAACCCTAAAAATTGAAATCAAATGAAGAACGAGTCTAAAACTTCAAAATCACCATCTATCAATATAAAAATATAAAATCATAGCGTATTAGGACTTTAGCTAGAATGAAGGCATGATAAGGATTGCGTTTTAGTTTTACAAAAATGCTACTCTTCGCATATTTTTGTACCATTATTTATAACATTTCTCTAATAGAAATGGATCCACATGCATTTGGGGGGGGGGGGCTACTATATTAAAGAGATGGTACAAGTAGGTGGTAGTTGTATAGTTGTAGCATTACTTTGAGTTTTATTGTTATTGTATCGTGCATTTAACAAAAAATGTTACTCACACCATCTAATTGTATCACCATTTGTACCATCTTTCTAATAGAGATTGGACCCACATGTTGGCGGGCCCTATCTCTATTAGAGAAATGATACAAATGATGGCACAACCAGATGGTAAGTGTAACATTACTCCACATTTAATTGTAATTATGCAATGGGCTGAAAAGCACAATCTATATTTAAAGTTTGAGTAATGTTATTCTTACCACAATTTTATACCACATTTCTTTACCATCTTAGGTGGCAGATGAGTTGGACAAACTACATCATTTAATTTCAATCTTTTTATTAATTAAAACACTTAAATAATTGTAGGTGGCAAAATAAGACTCCTCGTATACCACAATCATCATTTAATTAACAATTTTTTATTAGTTATTGATTAACATTTTGAAATTACATGCTAATTAATTTAAATGATGTGACTGTCCACATTAGATACCGTCTAAGGTGGTATACAATTATGGTACAACAATATAGTAAGAATAACATTATTGTTAAAGTTTAAATGAGTGTAGAGAAAGGTTAAGAGTTCAAATAATTTTTTATTTTTTATTTGTCAAATGTAAAACGAAAGGAGAAGGTAAATAATAATATGATTCAAGGCATGGAAGAAACAAGTTTGAATCTAAAAGTATAGTGGTGGCGCGTCCAATATGAATAAGAATAACCAGGATAAGATTGCCAACTAGTTAAGGAGATAGGGTTATCCACTCTCACCTAGCTCCTCGGAAGTGGAAACCATAAATCTTAAGTACCCTTCTTTTATAATCATCACCACCAATCTAACAAACACTTGCAACCCTTTTTACCCAATCAAAGAGGTAAGGTATTAAACATAATTATTGATTAATTCCAAAGAACTGAAGAATACAAGAGAAAGTTCAACCTAATATTACAGAAGACAAATAGTTTTCTCTTCTGACACATGTATGTAATGTTACAGGCGCCATGTATATTTTTTCTACATCTGTCACGGCTTTGTGACTCTGTCACACGTTCTTGGTTGACACTTGGAGAGAAAGACTCATTACCCAGAAAAAGAAACCGTAGAACAAGGCTTTCGAATGACAAAACCGACAAACTAACTCTGGTAGCTAGCAGAATTCGTGATTTCACTTCTACTCTGATCGCATGCAACTAATTAAGAATAGCATTTAAGTAAATAAATCATGTATCTTATCAACTTCATGTTGTATAAATTACCAACAAAGAAGAGAAGAATGATTATCCAACTCTGTATTCCTTGAAAATTATAATATTATTTTAAATAAGGAAATTTTAATGAAAAATTTCTGATACTGTTTACTTTAACAAAAAAAATCGTATTTTTATCCTAAAATGTCAATTATGATATTATTCACTTTACCCTTTATTTTAACCTTATCGTTAAAACTCAAAGTTTTCAAATATTTTTTTATTAGTTTTCCTTTTAAACAATTACTTATTAAGAACAAGTTTACAAGCCAATAAAGAATAGCATTTAAGTAAATAAATCATGTATCTTATCAATTTCATGTTGTATAAATTACCAACAAAGAAGTGAAGAATGATTATCCAACTCCGTATTCTTTAAAAATTATGATACCATTTTAAATAATTACCTATTAAGAACAAGTTTACAAGCCAATAATTTATAACACGATAAACGATAAACAACTGTCATAATCATTGTGTGGTTTTGTTTATTTGGAAATTATGATTACCCCTAGTCCTAGCTTCCAAAGTTGTTTATCATAAATGGATAAATCCCATATTACCATGTATAGTGGCTAGTGCCTGATGCCATAGTCTACATTCGAACTTGGATTGTCTGCCCTTTTAATCCTATACCCTCCTCATGTACTTTTATTTTTGTTGTTATGGTTAAGCCACGTCAACATTTTATATTTTCATTACTTTTTATCTTAATATTTTTATAAAAAAATTAATATAAAATGTTGACGTGGTTTAACTGTGATCACATAATATAAGAGGGCATGGGAAGGATATGAGATGGGGAGGACATACAATCCAAGTTTGTCTACATTGAGCATATTACACAGGACCCGGCTTCTCTGCCCTTCTAATTCCCATACACTCTCATCCCCTACTGTTTTGTGTGGTCACGGTTAAGCCACGTCAATATTTTATATTGATTTTTTTTTATAAAGATAATAAGACAAAAAAACAATAATGATATCAAATGTTGATATGGCTTAACCATAACCGCATAAATAGAAGGAGATGAAAATGTATGGAAACTGGAAGGGCAGAGAAGCCATCTCCTATTACACAACTAGAAACACAGAGGATATTACACAATGACTAGCTAGCTAACAATATAGTTCATATGTAGAAACCAGAAAGCAAACTGAAGATTAATTAAGAGTGGCCTAGGCACATCTAAGAAGCTGTTGAATAACAAAACAATATAATAATATAATAACAGAAAAACAGAATCAGTTATTCCTAATTTTAAGTAATGAAAAATAGTGACATCATTTCCTAATTAGAAGAGCAAGACAATTAAGCATGGTGACACCGGGCAGTTAGAGAAGTGCATGCCATCACCCTACGTGCCTGCAAATGCAGCTCCCGTGGGACAAGTTTCGCTTTTTTTCTGCAAGATAACAATGAAATATATTTATTACATTATAAAAATTGGAAATTAATTTTGAGAAAGCACAGTGGAAATTTCTTGATTTTTGTTTCTTTCTTATCCGCAAGGGTAGAGTTTTATCAATGTCACAAGAATTCTTACCTCCCCACTGCTGTTATAAATAGAGGGGACTTTGGAGGAGGTTCCTCAACTTCTCCTAGTTGTTTAACAAAGCTCATACACCAAAACAAGTTCTAGCCATGGCTGCATCTTACTCAGTGCCTTCAATGGTAGGCCATCAACAACCTTTCTCCCATTTCATTTCCTCCAATTTTCTAATAGTTGTCCTTGCTTGTGAGTCCCTACTAGGAATTTTCTAAGTTTGAGCTATTTCTATGGTACATTATCATGGTGTTGGTACATTATAATGGTTTTAAAACACTTATTCGTGTTCATGTCCTTGGTTTTGCCTAGTTTTTATTTGTTGGTTCATAGTTTATAGGTAGGTTTTGTATCCCTCGTCACCTAAACAAACTTCTATGCTGACGAGCTCTCACAGTAGCAGATTCTAGGTGTTAGACCTATTATTGTTCGTAGGTCTCACTCCTTTTCCACTGCGCCGAGAGCTAGACCTTTTAATCAGGGTCAATGTTATGTTTAAAAAGGAGAGAAAATTAAATTGAAACACTAGAGTTCACAAGGCATGGTTGCCATTTGAGTGAAAGATATAGGGGTGAATTTGGTTAAAGAGGAACTTAGCACTCTTAAAAGTTGATGAATTTGCTAAGTAAAAAGTATAGCCTTCTTTTACGGAAGATTATGTACCTAAATTTACATTTCTCTATATAATGATTATGTATGCAGTTGATGTTGTTTTGAAGAACCGCTGGATAAAATTTTGGTCAGCACTATAAGTCTGGATATTGGAACACAAATGAATGAATTTACAATTAGAATGAGCTAAAAAGTTCGGAATGAAAATTGGTTTCCACATGTTCGTAACTGGTGAGACTTGTGTATACAGATAATGGAAGAAGAAGGAAGGTTTGAGGCAGAAGTCGCAGAGGTGCAGGCATGGTGGGGCTCAGAGAGGTTCAAGCTCACAAAACGACCATACTCAGCTAGAGACGTTGTGGCACTAAGGGGCACCCTAAGACAAAGCTATGGCTCAAATGAAATGGCCAAAAAGCTGTGGAGAACTCTCAAAAATCACCAAGCCAATGGCACATCCTCAAGAACTTTCGGTGCCCTAGACCCCGTCCAGGTCACCATGATGGCCAAGCACTTGGACACAATTTACGTCTCCGGTTGGCAATGCTCGTCCACACACACCAGCACCAATGAGCCTGGTCCCGACCTTGCTGACTACCCTTATGACACCGTCCCAAACAAGGTGGAGCATTTGTTTTTGCTCAACAATACCACGACCGCAAGCAAAAGGAGGCGAGGATGAGCATGAGCCGGGAGGAGAGGGCTAGAACCCCTTATGTTGATTACTTGAAGCCAATCATTGCTGATGGTGACACCGGTTTTGGTGGCACCACGGCAACTGTTAAGCTTTGCAAGCTTTTCGTGGAGCGAGGCGCTGCTGGTGTTCACATTGAGGACCAGTCATCTGTGACAAAAAAATGTGGTCACATGGCTGGGAAAGTGCTTGTTGCTGTTAGTGAACATATTAACAGACTTGTGGCTGCAAGGCTACAATTTGATGTTATGGGAACTGAGACTGTATTGGTGGCTAGAACCGATGCAGTTGCAGCTACATTGATCCAGACCAATGTGGACACTAGGGATCATCAGTTCATATTGGGGGCTTCTAACCCGAATCTTAGAGGGAAGAGCTTGGCTACCCTTTTGGCTGAAGCAATGGCTGCTGGCAAAACAGGAGCTGAGCTGCAGGCCATTGAGGACAACTGGACTTCAATGGCACAGCTGAAGACATTTTCTGAATGTGTCACTGATGCAATCAAGGCAATGAACCTTGGTGAACACGAAAAAAGGAGGAGATTGAGTGAATGGATGAGCTATTCTAGTCCTGAAAAGTGTTTGTCAAATGAGCAAGCGCGAGAAATTGCTGAGAAGTTGGGGCTTAAGAACCTTTTCTGGGACTGGGACTTGCCTAGAACAAGAGAAGGGTTCTACAGGTTCAAAGGGTCTCTGATGGCAGCGGTCGTGCGTGGCTGGGCTTTTGCTGATCACGCTGACATTATTTGGATGGAGACTTCGAGCCCTGATATGGTGGAGTGCACCCAATTTGCTGAGGGGGTGAAGAATAGGCAGCCTGAAGTCATGTTGGCTTATAATCTTTCACCATCTTTCAACTGGGATGCATCTGGGATGAATGATCAGCAAATGGTGGACTTTATTCCTAGGATCGCCAAGCTTGGCTACTGCTGGCAGTTTATCACGCTGGCAGGATTCCACGCTGATGCGCTTGTGATCGACACTTTTGCGAGGGACTACGCGAGGAGGGGAATGCTGGCTTATGTTGAGAGGATCCAGAGGGAGGAGAGGAACAATGGAGTTGACACACTTGCTCATCAGAAATGGTCTGGTGCTAATTTCTATGATAGGTACCTCAAGACTGTCCAGGGAGGCATTTCTTCCACTGCTGCTATGGGCAAAGGCAAGTCATTATAATTTCTAGTTTTCTTTTTGACAAGTCGAATTTATATACCATCCTAAATTCAAATTCCACTGCGGTGGGACATATACATTTAATCTAGTTGGACATACTACCCTAACCAACTGGCCTATCCTATATTCGGATTCTCTTAGTACATTGAAAATGTTATTGGTAACTTATACTTGACCAAAATTGTTTCATTTTACTTTTTTCAGGAGTGACTGAAGAGCAATTCAAAGAATCATGGACCAGGCCAGGAACAACTGATCTGAGTGAAGGCAATGTTGTGATTGCCAAGGCAAGACTGTAAGAGGGAGGGAGGGAGAGAGAGAGAGAGAGAGAGAGAGAGAGAGAGAGAGAGAGAGAGAGAGAGACTTGAATGGAGTGTCTTGAGTACTTTGGGACATTATCCAGCTATTGTGGGGACTGGTGTAGAATAATGTGCTGCAATAACATATAATGCAGGTGATTGGCCTTTCTGGGTATATTTTTTGTTTTTGCTACCTAGTGCATTCTAGTGTATTTCTTCTAGTGGTCTCAAATGTGAGGACCAAACTTGTTCTCGTGTAATGTATTATGGGATATTCTTCCCTATGTTTGAAATATATCATTCCATTCCTATTAATCCTATGTTTCTTCATTTTCTTTGCCCAAGTTTTTGCATATACCATAAACCCTAATTCCCCAAAAGAATCAGCTATGGTGAATAAACGGCGCCTTCTGAGATATACTGGGTAAAATAAAAATGATGAATCTTATGTTCTTATTTCTCATAATTTACTTATAATCGTCTGTCGTTCTTTATGTTGCATGGACACTTCAATTTTATAGGATATTAAGTGTTCAACACAGACATAGACACGATGCCTTTGGGAATTCTTGCACTGCTGATTACTTCTTTCATGGAAAATATAATAACATGCACCTTGTAATTATTAAGAATTTAAGATTAATGATAGAGTGATATATGTGATGGAAGATAAGATTGTCAACCTTTGCACTGCTGATTACTTCTTCCATGGCTTGAGAATAGAGAGTACGATGATCAATGCAATGATCAATATCAAGATTATGGAAATCATCATGCATTTTCTTGACTTCTTCTGCAAGCTCTTTGCAGTTTGTAGGGCAACATTCCCTGATTGTACATGGTCCACTGCATTTGTCACCTGTGTACCAAATAGAGATAATATCAACTGATCAATGTGTTTTCCATTTTCCACCAAAAAAAAATTAAAAAAAACAAAACATGTGTTTTTCAATACTCTATGCCAAGGGAACTATTCGATTGTATTTCTAGGTCTCATTGACTACATTTTTGTACTACCGAAGCTGATGTGGCTTTTTCAGAGTACAAATACGTATGAACTATTAAATATGTATGTTTACGAACAAGCCATTATATAGTGTATTCAATCAATCAGATCTATAGTGTATAGGTCCTTAAAGTGGTGCTACACCACTCAATAGACCACGATGATGATATTTCTAGGTATTCGTATTATACAACCAAATATGTATTCGTATTGAATACGTATTTGTACTATACAACCGAACCACAGTGATGATGAGTAAGTTACACCTGTTTGATGAAAGGCAACTAACCCAAGGTCTAAGAAGCCCTATTGGTGAATTATGAGCCCAAACCAACCCAACCCAAGTTACCAATACGTAACCAATTACCAAAATTCAACTAATGTCATAAATGAACAAATAATGAAATATACATACAATCTACCTAAGTTGTATTTGATGCTAAGAGAACTTTAGGGTTTTCTTGTTACACAATCAATATAACAAATAATTAGGAAGAAGCGCGCATGATAAACATTATGACAACGTAGCACATTAGATTGTCGAGTAAAAGAACATTAACATAGTGGTATATGCACATGTGTGCAACCAAGATGTACAAAAATTCTTCACTTTGTCAGTTCAACTCAAACGAGCACATATAGAAATCAAATTATGACAAGTAATTATAGTAGTTTAAAACCGTCCTAAAAAACTTTAACCATCGTATATATGGACATAAATTATAGACTGGTTCTCTTTGAATGAGAGGAAAAACAGAAGTACAATAATTGTTGTGCTAAGGTATAATAGACAAGGCTTAGGCTAGAACTTAGAACAAAGGTGGTCGAATTTGTCGATTATATATAACTTCTCTCTCACAGCCTGCCCGATGGAAAGTAAATCTCACTACTTGGCAATGAAACCTAAATGCATGCTATGAGAAAAACATTATATATAACCGGCTCATACAAAAACTCATTTGTTGAAAGATGTCACTTGGCATTAGGTGTGGTTGCATGGATTTGTTCGCAATTTTCAAAGTGGTGAAAACTAGGCTTGGACTCCATTGCCATTATCTTCATCCCACACCCCAAGAATAAGGAGGCCATTTTTGCAAAAGACTAGGAGACAAAAGGGTTACCAACAACCTTTTTGAAGAATAATCATATGGAATCAATTTTTGGTTTTGATTCAAGAAAGGGATGAAGTAGAAAGTGGCAAACTGGCATATAAGATAAATACGTGCACAATTTAATATAAAAAAAATATATAAAAACAAGTTTTGAAAATTGCTTGTAAGAATAACTTAGATGAAGATAGATTATTAATACAAAAAACTTAGTTAAAGATAGATTAGATTAAACTAATATTAACATTTTAAAATAATATAACTATAGAAGCCAAATTCATTTTTTTTATATGTTACGTGAGGACAAAAATGAATTGATTATACGTTTTTATTAAGCATGCTACTATTTGTGACATTTGAAAATGTAAAAGAAACAAAGGGTGAATCTTTTTAAAGCGTCAAATTGTCAATAAAATCAAGAGAAATTATAATGCTTTGCCGCAGGACAAGTTTACAATCGTTTTCAATTCGCAGTCTGAAATGCAGACACACCACCATCAATAAACCAAAGCTTCACAAGAATACACACACAAAGATAAAACATTTATAGCCAAGGAAGAAGAAGAAAGGACACCGAAAAATCGCAACCAAAGAAGTAAAGACACTCTCCTCGGTCCTCACAGATGTGAAACCAAAAAATAACCTCCCAACCAACCCGTCTATATTACACGGTGAAGAGACAAGGGCAAACTCAAGCACCCTTAGCCACTTTTCCATGGTTTGAGGACGCTAACGACTATTATAGCTACTATTATTAATAGAATAATGATTGCTATGCACATCCATTTTCGGGAGTTCTTCTGGAGTTTCTTTGCTTTTTGAAGCGCAGTGTTCCCAGATTGAACATGATCGACTGCATTCGTAACCTGGATAAGATTCCCATCAACACACAACACAAAGCAATACACAATTACACACGCAGCGAGCATATATGCAGACCGAACATATGTTCAAGGATGCAAAAGTAGAATTAAACCTGAGATTCGATATTGTCTAAAATCTCTCCTTGAGCATCGACCAAGACTGCCATATCGAGGTAGATCTGAAAATTTAAAACATATTAGAAGGTTTAGTTTCTCAAGTAGACGGACAAAACCTCATGTTACGGCACACATACCTGATGCAAGTCAAGTAGCTTTTTCTCAATTTCCTTAACGGTGTCATGCCTCTCTTGAATTTCTTCCAACGTATTTAGTACCTGTAATCAGAGGTTCAGAGTACCCAATATAACTCTCACAAATTTTTCCAAAGTGGAAGGAAATCTCAAAATCAAATATAACAAAACTCAAGAGAAGTATACCTGTCCTCGTCCCTGTTCTTGAACTGCCTTTTGGAATATTTGCTCACTATTTCCAGTTTCTATCAGGTTGTCAATTGTCTAATACAGTCACCATATTCGGCGGATTAGGAACACATTCACATTAATATAATTTTGAAGCTCAAATTCGGTAATTAGAAACCCGGCTCACCTCTTCATCTGGTCTGGTTCCCGTAACTGCAAGTGTAATGTGTAAAGATATGATCACTCAATAAGGAATACGAAGATAGAACCATAACACATTGTCTTAATATGTAGTTTGTAAGTTCTACTTGTTTGTGTTGAAAAGGCATGCTAACCTGTAATGACTCTTCTCTCCACAACCTCACGATATTCATCTTGGATTCGTTGTCTGAGGGTCTGAAACATAAAACGTTGATGAGCAAAAAAGTGTTGGGATAAATGAGTCCAAGGGTAACAAGCAGAATTTATATACACATACCTGAAACTCGATCATTATCTCCCTAAACTTTTTTGTCAATGAACTGCCAAACAGAAAAGTAGCTTATAAGTCAACTTGCTCGACCATCAATCCAATATACAAAATTAAATACTCTACACAAAATATAAGCACTCTACTAACTTTGTCATGTTCATCCGCGATCTGTCAACACCTGTTCCCTTCTCACATCCAGGTTTTTGTCGGTTGGCTAAGTTCTGGGGACAGGATAAGGGAGTCATTAGCAAAACCGAAAAATATTAGATGAAGTTGGCATATCAAAGAAAGAATTATTAAAATATTACATCTTTGCTAATTGCTTCTAGTTTCGCTTTGATACCACGTGCAATCTTTCCTACTTCATCAATATCTTTTTCCATCCGCTTTTTGATTGCTGAAAAAAGGATAATGGTCTTAATGTACAGCAGACAGAGCAGAGAATAACAAATCAGAAAGCATAATGCACCATGAAACAGTTAGCAAGGGATTTCTCCAAGTTCCAAGCAGTTGGCAAGTCTGCTTAAAAATTGTCACTTTTACAGTTTAACTTTTTGTACCTAGCAAATTAATCCATGCTGACTACAAGCTTATTTACTGTCAACTTTTTGTAACACAAAAATACTCACGAAATTTCACTTTTAGGTGCAAGCTTTTGAAACTATGACTGAGTTGGAAAATAGCTTATACCTTTCATGGCAGATGCTTTTGTAACAGACTTCGACTCCTCGTTTGCATCCTATGGGAAAATTTTCAACAGTAAGTTTCTAGTTAACTGTTAGAGAAAATCCTAGACCAGAAACATTCACCCAGTGCCAATCAAATTCAGATAAATGATAAATAGACCCCAATTCCAGGAAAATTAAAATGTAGAAGCACGTCTATACAAACTCAACATAGCTATGAATGACACGACACACATGCTTACCTTAAGTTTTTTAAGAAGCCCGGAGAGCATATCCACCTGTTTCTCAATCTCTTGTATCTAAATTCGAAAAACAAAAGAGATCAGGACAAAGCAACTGATTAAGCGTTGAAGAAAATGAAAAGAAAAGGTAAACAAAAAAGCAAATGCCATATAATCCAATAGCTAACGGTTAAGAAGAAACATAACGAATGTGTCAGATAAGGGATTTCTTTCTTCTAAATCTAAAGAAAATAATTTGCACAAATCCCAAATAGATTAAATGGGTTGCATTTCCAATTTGCAAAGCAGTCTGCAATCAAATGGAACTTTGTGGATAGGAAATACCTGCTTATTGAAAGTGTCCATCCCTGCATCGGAATAGCTATGTGGAACTGGCCTTCCCATTTCAATATCATCTGTTCCAGAAGTCTGAGCTTTTGCTTCACCAACAAATGAATCCTAAAGCCATAGCATATTACACAATATAAGCACTGAACACAACTGGCTGAAATAAACATTAATTTTCTCCTAATCATTCGAAGGAAGAGGCAACGTAGTTACACATTAACCGATCACAAATTCAATTCAAAATACTTAGAAATTCAGGTGCAGATGGTTTTTATGTCAATGGTACTGTTTGACAAACGATCTGACATCAATGTTATTAGCATAGTTAACAAAAATGCAGTGAATATGCAGTCTTTGTGATAGAATTCAGCAAACTCTCTGTTCAGTTGCTAACTAAACTTCGGAACAACATATTCAAACATCAAAGACTTCCGATTTTTTGGGACCACTGGATTCTACGCAAGACAATCAGATTGAGGCTGAAAACTCAGACTATTTTCGTTTTTATCACAGAATTTCCCCTTTCAGTCAGTCAAACTCAAATCTGATGTGAAATCTGATTTATCCATTTGAAAATTCGTCTCAAATTACAAGTGGGTATTCTCCAAAAACTTAAAATTCACATAAAAATCTCAGATAAAGATTGTCAGGTAGTCATTAGTCAATCACCAGTAAAAGGGTACCAATCCAATCCAAAAAGCATCAACCTTGTTCTAGAGCAAATCACAAAAACCCCAAATTCACAACATTTATCAAATCTACTAACTTGTGCAATTGAATTACAATTCCAAGAGACTACAAACTAAACTGTCACTTCAAAAACAGCCACCAAACAATTTAATCAATAATTTACTGAAAACCCAATTACCGTAAGCAGGTCGTTCATCTTGTACAAAATCAGATGGCCGGACAGAGAGAGGGGGAGAGAGAGTAAAGTTGGGAGATGGTGAAGGAGGGAGGGAGAGAGAGAGAGAGAGAGAGAGAGCGAGAGAGAGAGAGACAGCTGTAGGAGGAGTGATGAAGTCGTTGGCTTTGTTGGGTGGCCGGCGAAATATGAAAAAAATAGAAGGAAAGAAAGGAAGATGCAAAACAAAAGGTGACAGACAAGCAAATAACAGCCCACTCGATTACACGAAAGGGGCGTTACATACAAATTCCAAAGAGTAAACTGTCATTTAACCCCCTAAACTATCACGTGAGTTTCAATTTTCCCCGAACTATTTTTTCAACCAATTGACCCCCTAAACTATGTTAAAGTGGCCAATTAACCCCCTACCGTTAAGTATCTTTAATTCCATCCAATTTTCTGTTAGAAAGTGTCATGTGCTTGGCACATGACCACCTTTTTACATTTTATGTCTAAATCTTTACAAAGAAAACATATAAAACAAATATTAAAAAAAAAAACATACAAACCCTAAACTTAATCATTCAAAATAATAGAAAAAGTAAGGCTTTTTATATTAACACCCCATAAAATGTTGAATGCACCCATATTAAAATTTAATATTAAATGACTTATTTACTCTACTATACAATGACAATTTTGACCTTATTAGGTTTTAAAAAAAAATTATAAATACACCCCAAATCACTTTTAGCGTATTATTTATCTTCTCAACTATCAAAACCCTCTCATCCTCCATTGTTGAACAAAACCCTAATCAATGAAACTACAAACATGTTGATTGAGAAAAATTGTTTTTGACGAATGAAACACGAAATCGATGTTTCTGAAGCTTCACATGAGGTAAGACTTCACATTTTTCATTGTTTTAGTGATTTCGATGACATCGATAATTATTTAATCTTGCGTTTGCTGCATTATTTAAACTTATATATTCATATTCATATTCATATTCATCTTTTAGGGTTCATATTGAAAAATAAACTTATATATTCATATTCATATTCATATTCATCTTTTAGGGTTCATATTGAAAAATAATGTAGCAAACGCAAGATTAAATAATTATCGATGTCATCGAAATCACTAAAACAATGAAAAATGTGAAGTCTTACCTCATGTGAAGCTTTAGAAACATCGATTTCATGTTTCATTCATCAAAAACAATTTTTCTCAATCAACATGTTTGTAGTTTCATTGGTTAGGATTTTGTTCAACAATGGAGGATGAGAGGGTTTTGATAGTTGAGAAGATAAATAATATGCTAAAAGTGATTTGGGATGTATTTATAAATTTTTTTTTTAAACCTAATAAGGTCAAAATTATCATTGCATAGTGGAGTAAATAAGTCATTTAATATTAAATTTTAATATGGGGTGCATTCAACATTTTGTGGGGTGTTAATATAAAAAGCCTTACCTTTTCTATTATTTTGAATGATTAAGTTTAGGGTTTGTATGTTTTTTTTTTTTAATATTTATTTTATATGTTTTCTTTGTAAAGATTTAGACATAAAATGTAAAAAGGTAGTCATGTGCCAAGCACATGACTCTTTCTAATAGAAAATTGGATGGAGTTAAAGATATTTAACGGTATGGGGTTAATTGGCCACTTTAATATAATTTAGGGGGTCAATTGGCTGAAAAAATAGTTCAGGGGGGAAATTGAAACTCACGTGATAGTTTAGGGGGTTAAATGACAGTTTACTCAATTCCAAACAACAGTTTTAGCAAATATTTTACTTTGTTTATTATTTATAATTTTGTTTAATATTACATTGTTTATGTTGGTGAGCTGCGTGATCTTTGAGGATTTGGTCGTTTCTTCCGACAATAGGTTACAGAAAATTAAGAAAACCAAAATACAGTAAAAGAAAAAGAAAGAACCTTTTTCTTTTTTAGCTTAATTAGTGGAGATTATTGCTGGCACTTGAAAGATAGTAACCCTTAAATACCAATTTATTTGTACAATGCTCTTTTGATTAGGTTACCAAAAAAAATCTTTATTTTTGGGAAATTGAATGAAAGGTTTTGATCCAAGAGAGAGAGAAATTAAGTTCTGTCGTTAATCATTTTGGTAGTGCGTATAAACTTACAACGGTGGGGGATTCATTTGGAGAATACTTGTCCTCTCTTGTGAAAATGAGGTGCAAACACAAGTATATATTTTTTTTCGATGCCCATTTGCCCGTGCTTTTTGGTTTGGCTCCCCACTTCAATTAGATGTAGATATGGTGGCAGGGGTGATTTTTTGGAATGTTGGAAGTGGTTATGTGCAAAATATGGTAAGGAGGGGGAGGCTTGTGACTTGATGCAATGAGTGGTTGGTGGTCTATGGAGGATATGGAAATGTCGTAACAGCTTGGTCTTTGAGAAGGTTGCAATAGAACCCCTTGTTGCCATACAATTACTTAAACAACAATGGGAGGAGTTGGTGATATGTGACGAAGCACATGTGCAACAATCTCCCCGTGGGTAGCAAGTGAGAAGAGAAGGCTCTCATGGGTGGATCAAGCCACCTTTTGGAACTCTTAAAATTAATTGTGATGGTGCTTGGTGTAGTCAGACAGGTATAGGTGGTGTTGGGTGGGTGGCTAGGGATTTTGTGGGCATTTTCAATGGTGCTTGTGGTATTGGAAAAATTCCTTGTGTCTCAAGTATTATGGCGGAAGCGGAAGCAGAAGCAATGCGGGTGGCTTTGGTGGCTTGTGTGGAGAGAGGCTTTACCTCTATACAATTGGAGACTGACTCCCAGGTTCTTGTTGATATGATTCATGGCCGTATACAATCGGGGGCGGTTTTGGATGGTATCTTGTGGGATATAAGTATTTTGAAGCAACAATTTGAAGCTATTGAGTTTTTATATGCTCCTCGTGCCTGTAATGAGGCTGCGCATATGGTGGCATCTTATGCCATGCGTATGGCGGGTAGTCATTCTTGGGATGGTTTTGAACCAGAATGGTTGTTTAACACTTTGATATCTGATGTAAACATTTCGATTTGTATTTAATATTAATCCAACTTTTGGCAAAAAAAAATCACTAATTTTTATTGACTCAAACTTTATTATTATTATTTTTTTATCAAAGTCTTTAATTTTTTCACGTCAAACTTTTATAATAAATATTTTTACATGTCAACAATTTTTTTTTTTGATATTTAGTATTTATTCATTCCCCTATTTTATAGTCTTGGCAGTAGGAGAATTGTTTATGGTAAGTTTTTTTTTTTTTTTTTTTAAATTTTGAACGCCTTATTCATAACTAATCAACAAGATAAAAAAGCTATACCAATTACAAGTCCCTTCGTCCTCACGACACATAAGGGTTTCGAGTCTAGGGTTTTGTCTATGAGCGGCGGCTGTTACGGAGTGGGTCGAGACGGCGGTTCGTTCTCCTTTCAGTGATAGGATGGATCGGTTTCTCTGACTTTTTAATTTAGGATTGCAGTTGTCAGAGTCAGAGAATCTGGAGGTAGTGATCAGTGACACGGCGACAGAAAGGCTTAGGGTTTCGAAATTCTTCTTGGTTGGGAAGGTTTTCTCCCGTAAGTATTTGAGGCCTAGTATTGTTATGGGGGTGATTAAAGATCTTTGGCGGCCTAAGGCGAATGTGGAGGCCACGGCGATTGGGGATAATCACATCCTTTTTAGTTTTAACTCTGAAGAGGAAGCCCGTTTGGTTCTTAAGGGCAGTCCATGGTTCTTCGGTAAGTCCTTACTGCTATTGGCGGAAGTTAACAAGTTCCAGGTTCTGGTTGACGTTCCACTGCGGGAGCAATGTTTTTGGGTTCGCATTTATGGCCTACCTCCAGCGTTTATGTCGAGAGAGACGATGGAGGTTATTGGTGCAGCCTTGGGGCGATGTGTGCAGGTTTATTGCGCTAACGATTTCTGTTTTGGTGACTATATGTGGATCAAGGTTGCCATTGATGTGTTTCAACCTATCCGACGGGGTGTGTAGCTGAGGTTCCTTCCTCGGAGGGTGGGGAGCTTATTAGAGTTCTTGTGCAATATGAACGTCTGCCGACATATTGTTTCCTTTGCGGGTTACTTGACCATAAATGCAGCCAATGTCATCTCTTTAAAGGTGGAGTGGTGGATGATATTTGTGTACTGTATGGCCAGTTGCTACAGGCTGGTAACCCTACGTTGGGCTCGGTGGGAAACCTCGGGGACTCATGTAATAATGGTGAGTGGAGGATGAAGGCGCCGAGGTTCTCCTTAGGTTTGGGTGTCGCTGTCGGCATTAAGGTGGTTCACAGAGACAGTGTTCACTTTGAGCAATCAGTGGGTGTGGGGGAGACGAAGATGGGAGTGGGAGTGCAGGTGTCGCACAGTGGGGGTGTAGGGCCGGGTCGGGTATGTGAGAGTAGGGTGCAATCTATGGATAATGATACTACACTATTACTCGGGGGACTATTTCCTATTAACTGTAGCCTGCAATTTACCTTGGGAAGGTCATAGGTGGTTGGTGGTGTACGAAGGTCACAGAGGTTGAGTGGTAAAATGCGTAAGGTTAGGCATGGAAGTAGTGGTGTTAACCTGAGTTTGCTTGTTGGCTCGGTGTTAGATGTGTCTTTGGTAACGGGTGTGAAGCGATCGCGTGAGGTATTCTTATCTGCTAGAACTATGGGGTCGGTACCTGTGAATAAAGTTTGTTATAGTCCATTGGTGGGTGGTGTCGGCGAGCACACCCGCCTTTCGCAATGAATACTTTATGTTGGAACTGCCAATGATTGGGGGACTCTTGTGCAGTTCAGGCCTTGTTGGGGCTTACCCAACAACATCGTCCCCTTATTGTCTTTCTTTCTTAGACAAAATGTAGTGAGAGTGTGATTTTACAGAAGCAATGTAGTTTGGGGTTTGATAATTTTTTTGCAGCGGCGAGTAATGAGAGATTGGGGGGGTTGGCTGTTTTTTTGTATGGATGAGGTGGAGCTTGTGGTATTATCTTCTTCAACAAACCATATAGACATGGAATGTAGGGTTCACAGGGCGAAGCAGAAGTGGAGATTAACTGGATTTTATGGTCATCCGATCACAGCAAATAGGCACCTTTCATGGGCATTACTTAAGAGTTTGGGTCAACGAAGTCCTTTACCGTGGATATGCATGGGGGATTTCAATGAAATCCTTAGTATGGAAGAGCAGTTGGGTGGTAATCAACGTAGGGAAAGCCAA